GATGACAGCTGCGCCGCCGTTTAGCCAAACATTTGGTGACTCTTCTGTTCACAATATCACAAGTCAGAGGCTCGGCTGAATGTTTTTATGACTCGATTGCACATATTTAGACAAAAATGTGAGAAACGTGACAAGATAATGCTGCTCGGTGTTCGGTGGATGTGTGGTTGATCCATAGCGAGTCTGAAAAAAATGATTCTCCCGTAAATCTGTGAAATTTGTAGCTTTCATTTTAGTCTTGGCTCCACACCTGCTGCTTTAAATCTCCTGCGACGTTTATATTTATGTGAATTTTGATTGATTCCATAAAGTCAGGGAGGAATGTGTGCAGGTTATTTGTTGTCTCTAATATCGTTTAAAACTGTCGTTCCTAAACACAAACTCCTGGAGGAGCTAACATTTCTATGAAGTCGGGTTCAGACTGATGAATGAGGTGCGTCCACACGTCCACTTATGAGAGGCTCTGCATAAACCTGCACATCAGCTTCTCCCCAGTCTGCAGGTTTTAAAAGAAGAATCAATAACCGTCGTGATGCAGAGTTGGATTAAAGTCTTCATCTGAGCAAACTGAGACCTTTGAGGAAACAAGCAGAAGTTAAAAAAACACAGAAACACTGAATGATTGGTCAGTGTTGGAGTTTCTCTCTACGAACCGGGGAATAAAAATCAGTGCAGATAAGCTGAGCAGCTAATCATTTATCAGGACCACCTCACACAAGAAACACATAACAAAGAGAAAGCAGGGCAGCTCAAGTCGACAGGCGCAAACAGTAATTAGCCGACACAGACGTTAACGCTGAATCTTAACTCGAGGTGAGAAAACACAACCAGAAAGAACATCTAGTTTGTCACGGCGGCTCCTGTGCTGATATTTTTTGTGCTGTAGCTGAATCCTGCACCACCCTGGAGTAAAACAGCACCGGTTCTCTTCTCCAGCTATCACCGATTGGCAGTAAACCCGCCGATTCTAGTGTCAAATCTCTCGTCGATTTGTTTTAAACCACGTTTTTTGTGTGTGTTTGTGCTCACCGCCTGGGAAGTGATTACATCTTGCAGCGCCGCTTCCCTCCTGCAGCCCTCTACACCCAGACAAACACCAGCCAGCCAGCCTCCCTCTCCAATTCCACATTTCCCCCTGAATAAAGCTCTTTCACCTGCCTCAGTGTCTGCGTCTGGGTCCAGAACCACATCGTGACATTGGTGAGAAAACACAGAAACAAGACAGGACAAAGCCTTGGTGCGACACAAACGATCACATCTCCCCGTTTCCCCACAAACTGAATGAGAAAAACCAGAAGAAGATTCACAGGCAGGAATCAGGACGTGATCAAATCCTCAGTTTCTGAAATGTCTGCTTCTGTCTCCCTGCTTCGTGTTTTTAGCGTTGATGATGGAACCCTTTACATTCTGGATCAGTAGATAGAAGCGCTAAGTGAAGAGCTCATGATGTATAACATACATAAATCCATGATGCAATGTGGACAGCATACGGTGCAACACATTCTCAGAGGTGACAGGACACACTGATCGTCATGTAACACATTATTCGAGAGCTACAGAGGAGCTTCGTTCTTAACGAGACATGAGCTCCTCTGAAAACATGATTTATGAAATTATGGGGAGGCTGTAAAATATTGACAATATCCTATTCCTGCCATGTATTTCTATTTTTCTGTATCTTCGCCATCATTGATCATGCGTGAAATTAGCCAATTATTGATGTACGATTTATGCATTAGCGTGATTAATTGCTGATTCGCTGTAATAAAAATACCAGAACGTGTGCTATTCTTGCTGCAGACGGTGCAAAACTTTAACACAAAGATAAGAAAGAAAATTAGCTTTTTTTTTTAAAGCAAATCACTGTAAAACTAAGGAACAAACTTGAGCCTCTGGTGATGAAAGCAGGCAGCAGCAGTTACTTTTAATCTGTTTTATTATTTGTATATTTATATTCTCATTAATAGGAATAATGATAAATTAAAGCCAAATCGAGGGCTTTAGAAATGTTGTATCTTTTGTTTCTGACCATAAAGTGGAAAAAACGTGACCTCCCCTGAAAGCCACGGTGTCGTCCACACGCTGACCGCAGTGGATTTTGTTTCCATCGCAATGCAGTCTCACAAAAAAAAAAAAAAAAGCTCCATGCATGGCTGCTTTAACTCACAGGAAGGCTCATAGGAAGAGTGCACTATGAACCCACTTCTGACCCCAACCTCCTCTTTTTTCTAAATTTATTTGTCTTTGTAAAAAAAGAAAAAAAACACCAATCATTTTGTGTACTAAGTCATCACAGTTACTAACTAAAGTAATAAAAGCCTTTAAAAGTAGATTATAATTTAAAACCCGTCTGGACCGCAGGGCCTCCAACATCTGGTAGAACCAACATTTAGGTGCATTACAGCCACCTACCAGACGGGAGTGTGGAGCAAGATTGGCAATATGGAATAAATAAATAAATGAATGATAAAATAAATTAATAAATCCTTATTAGAAGTCCTGTGTTTTTAAGAAACTAAATTATCTCTCTTAATATGTCTCTTCCCGTTTCCCTAACAAGGTTCTGCCCTGTTAGCTCTACCTTGACTTTTTGCAGCTTTGCTTTGAGTGTTTTTCTTTCTTCTTCATATTGCTGACCTTCCAGCAGCACACGCTGAACTGTTTCTGTTTTGTCACGGTGCCGACTCGCTCCACTCGGATGTTTGGTTGTTATTTTGAGTGTAAAAGATGGCGGCAGGTGAGCAGCAGGTTTTATGCCAGAACTGCCAATCAGACCGTACCAAGTGTCTTCCACTTCAAGGGGTGGACCGGGTTAATTGATTTAAATATTAATTTGTTCATTTGATTTGTGTTGGGTAATTAGATGTATTTTGCGTTTGTTTGTTATTATTATTATTTTGTTTAAGTAGACCAGTTGTACTGGTTTGTGCTTTTTGTTGTTAGTTTAGTTGTACGTGTTATTTTGTTTCCCCTGTTGTGTGTAACTGGTCTGATCGGCCAGTAGATATGTCCCCCTTCCTGGTTTCACATCTGTTGGGAGTTTGTTCGATGAGTATCAGAGTTAAATTCTGGTTTTTGGGGTGAAATAAAAGCCCTGTTGTGAATTCACCTGCAAGTCCTCGTGCTTTGCATCTCAGTTATTTGCAAAATTGGTTTTATTCACCTGATTTAGAAAAGTGCATTAAACAAACACACCAATGAGACTGTTTGCATTTGACAAGACAAGATGGATTTAATCCAAATTTTTCTTTTTGCCAAGAAATCCCATGAAAATACCAAAACTAATGACCAGTTGGTGTTAACTTGTTTGACCTTTTTGTCCATACACATGCATGTGTTTGTTTCTCTGTGCAGTAGAGGTATGTTGGTGTCCAAAAACAGTTTAAAACAAATGAACACTTAAGGTTATTTTAGAAAATTCCACATGCGTCACACTGTGCAATGGAAACTTACAGGCGCATCAGATGTGTAACAATCCACAGCTGAAAGTAGTCCCCTACAAATTCAAACTTTACCTTTTTCTGAGTTATATTTGCTGAAAACTGCTGCCCAGCTGCCTAAGGAATTACTTTAGGCTTCTTTAAATGAAATATATATTAGTGAAACTTTTTTTTTCATCTTCAGTCGGAACAAACTTGTGCCTGGGTACCACAGACAGAGTTAAAATCAGTAGGAAGCGACATTTTGAGACATGAACTGACACATCGGTGGTTTTTGGTGTGTTCAAAGGATTTGTTGACAACAAAGAAAGATACAGAATGAACTCGTCAGACAGACAGATCTTGATCCTACGTGCAGGAGGGCAGGATGTCACAGTTCACTCTGCTGTGGACACATTTGCACAACGCTGCGCATCCTCTGAGCCGCTGCTGTCGATGCGACGCATCAACGCACTACATTTTAGACTTCAAGGTGTTTTATCTTTTTCTGCAGGAAGGAAACATCTGGCAGAGGGTCTTTTCCCACTGGGAGATATGAATACTTTCATGTTAAGTTTGTTTTCTGATGTGGAAAAGTGATCTCAGCAGGCACAGAGCAGGACCTGACAGGAGGGAAAAAGGACGACTCCTTCCTCTCGCCTTCAAACCTGCTGCCTGCCAAACAGCTGTACCCGTCCACAGCCAAACAATCAGCTGCAACCACTGTCAGGTACAGAGGATTAAAGCATTTTCCTCCCTCAAAACATCTCTGTAAGCACAACATTTCCCTCACGTACTGTCCAATATCACACGTCTCATCTTAAATACTTCATGGCTTACTGCAGGCTGTATGAGTGATTTGGCCACAACAGCAAAAGAACAACGTGTCACGCTGGGGACCGGATTGTGATCTGCTGGTGGGTGAACACAAATTCAGCTGATTCATGCATTTAGTAGCTCTTTTGTTTGCTTAAATCCAATCAGGATGTTCTATAATCTTTTCATCCGAGGAATAACTGCACGAGACGGCGTTTAGTAAAGAACTTTATCAGTGTGACAGCGTTAGACAGCTTTGCTACGAGCAGATAAGCTTATTTTATCTCTCAAACAACACAGATCCAAAAGGACAATAAACATGGCAACAAGTAGACTATGAATATGACATGAGTGCTGATCTGAGCTGGCTGTTTGCATGACCAAACCTTGATTTGCTGTTGGATGGGTGTTTTTATTCTAGTTAGCGTTACATGGATGAATGTTATTGACGCTTCTGCCTCAGGCACCAAATCTCCTTGCGCTGAATTTGGAAACAGAACGTCCCAACATCTCGTCTTAACACCTCTACATATCTGCCGCCCACGTGGCTGCCTCAGCATCGCAACAGAAGAACCTCAACACGTATTTTGTAAATGGTGATTCCCTGCAGTTCCAGATGCAGATTTAATAATCAAATTAGTATAAAAAAATCGATTTAGTTTGTTTTTTTGTTTGTTTGTTTTGTTTTGTTTTAATTACGAAGCTCCTTCTACCATCATGTGGCCTGTTTTGGCTTATTTAGGTGACAACTCTTCTGGCCTTCAATCAGAAGTCACGATCCCAGCCGGAGAACTCCTCGTCCGCCTTCGTCTGGTCGTGAGGGAAGCGATCGAAGTTGATGTAGCAGGGGCCCTGAGGGAGGGAAAAGTTTTGCTAAATGGAGGATAATGGATCGATCTTGTCTCTTAAACTTATTTCCAGTTTGGCTTACCTGACGTGAGATATTTCTGCAAACCACATAAATCTCACAGTCCCCATGAGGCACAAGTTTCACATTTTAATTAAAAGTATTTTAACTTTGCAAATTTCATTATGAATACTTTTTTTTTTAAACTGGAGATTTGGAAACAAAGTCTTAATATTTACTCCACACAACCCTCTGCACCACTACACCTGCTGTCTTCTTTTGTTTGTCTTTGCTTTAAACCACAATAAAAGTTTCATGTAACAGTAAAAACAACCTCGGCCGGTGCTTTGGACTTGCCTTGCGTATGAGCCGAACCGTGGGGGCGTCCAGCTGACCCACACGCAGCTTGTGCCAGTTCATGCTGCTGAACCACCTGAAGGGAAGCGAGGACGGGAATTACAGGTCCAACATAACAAACATTATTATAGGCGAATTCAGAAATTTAGGAACACTGAGGGGGGAGAATGCAAGAAAATGTAAGGAGTCATACAAATATGCCAGCGACAGAGTACTCGATGTGCTTTTTCACTGAGCGGCTGTGTGTTTTCACAAATACTTAAAATTCCACTCACGACACCACATGTGTCACAAATACAACCACAGATGCAAAAACGCTCAATTCAGCAGCCGTCAGTGTTGGTGATTAGTTAACGTCTGAAATCACAGATAAGGCGGTAGGGGACGAGAGCCTGATTTTGGTTTTTGTTGCCGTGGTTACCTGTGATGCCGGACGTCTTTGATTCCGTTCTTGGTGTTTCCTAACCTCTGACCCGGCCGAGGCCTGCAAACATTCAGACAGTTCAGTTTTCAAGGCGAGCGCATTCAGAACCCATCAAAATTCAGGTGCATCTTATAAAGTAGTGAATTGATTTGCTCCATTCATGCTTCTACCCTGTATAGAAACCTCTACTTAATATACACATGATTCATTTCAGCTTAGAGTAAAATATATCAGGCGACACATTAAGTTAATTCTGAACACAATATAAAACCTTAACCAGCGTGCCATCGATCGACCGGTTCTATTTTTCATACCTGCACAGTTTACTGATGATGGACTTGGACGCTTCACTTAAGTAAGGTGGATACTTCAGCACTCCATCCAGAATTTTGGAATAAATCTTCTGGGGCTCTGAGCTGGAAAAGGGAGGGCTGCAAAATTGAAACGAGAGAAGATGGCTCAGGAAATAAGGCTCAGAACCTCATCAGTGGGTTACTTGTTGTTGGGCAACCTGAACCTGCAGAGCTCTGTCAGTCATACTTCCCTGCTGCCATCTGCTGGTTAATATTGAAGCTATTCATGTGACTCTGTTGTTATAAAATCCTAGTGCAATGCAAATTTGTAGGTTGTAATCATGCAAGACATTTTTAGGATTAGTATTAGTACCTTCCAACCAATAGTTCAAAGATCAGGATGCCAAGAGACCAGAAGTCGACCGCAAAGTCATGTCCCTGGTTCTTGATGATCTCTGGCGCCATGTACTCAGGAGTGCCGACAAATGAGTAGGTTTTCTCTCCGCGCACCAACTCCCTGGCAAAACCAAAGTCAACCTGCACAAAGACAGATCATACGTAAGCCGCCCTGTAGGTGTGGAAACCCCGCTGACAGAATGGAAACCATCCTCAGCTGTTTTTTCCCTGGAAACATAATCTGTACTTGGAGCTAAAGACGTGGAAACAAACAAGTGTTTCTTCACAGATAGGAACCCACCAGTTTTACGTAGCCCTTCACATCCAGCATCAGGTTCTCGGGCTTCAGGTCTCTGTACATGATGTTCTTCTTGTGGAGGTAGGCGTAGGCCTCCACCACGCAGGCCGTGCAGAACACGGCGACGTTCTCGTCAAAACGCCCTCTAATAATCACAGACATGTCAGAGGTTGAGCTACTGCCGTCATAAACATCCTGTCAGCTTTAATAATCTTTCACACTAATTTATTATCTTCCTTCTTTTTTATTGCTCTTTTTTATTTTATTCAGTTATCTCAGCAGAAACAGCTCCTGAAAACTATGTGTGACTTTGGAGCATCAGGGTTTCTCTGCTGGTCACAAGATGCACTAACAGCAGCAGATATAAGTCAGACTGTCGCTGCACATTGTGACTAAAACATTTATGTTTATATATGGAAGCATATTTTATTGTGACTGGTGTATATTGAAAATTAAACATTTAAATTTTTTTTTTAAATCAAGGATGATATCAGTAAAACTCATCTTTAGCTTTCTTTATTGTTTGTTTTGTCTTTTTTTGGGGAAATAAAATATCTTCAAAATGCAAAGAAAGAGAGTCTGTAACCAACTGTATGTGGTTCCTATGCTGGCGTGTGAACTTGACAGTAACAAGATTATTTACGACATCATCACTGTGCGTATTATGACCATGACATTAACATTTCTTTTTTAATTATCGTGGTTATCGCCGGTGTATGTGACCCGACTTCCACCCAGTGAGACAAGGTTAAAGCCAGCTTTGCTTTCTTTGATAACATCCAGCTGATTTACACTGAGGAATGATTTCACTTTTTACAACAGAAACACCTAAACGAGGGCACGAGTTGCTCCAAAATGTGATTTTTTTTCCTCACACTTCTTTGAGTTTGGTCCAGATCTCCCCGCCGCTACAGAACTCCATGACCATGTAGATGTATCGCGTGTCTTTGAAAGCTCCGTGAAGTCTGAAAACGGTGAGAGGTGAAAACATTTTCAAGCTTTCTGTGGGTTATTAAAAGACTGCAGTGGGTGTGTCTTTGTTGGCAGATACCTGACGATGAAGTCGCACTGGATCGCTTTGAGGATCTTCTTCTCGAACAGCATGTGTGCCTCCTGTCGTTTGGCGACGATGTGCTTCTTGCTGACTCGCTTCATGGCGTAATACTTCCCATGATTCACGGTGGTCATCTTGGAATAACAAGAACAATCATCACTGAGAAACTTTTTCTGCCAAGTCTTCTGGATTTATTCCATTCAAAGATAATGTTAACCTCACGTGGAGAAGCTTTAGTAAATGATTAAACCTCACTGAGTTAACGCAGGTTTGAGAAGCAAACTCAGCTGATTGATAAATTAGAGAAGTCAAATAAAAATGTTAATAACTTAATTTCCTGACTGCGATCATAACGGCCATGAATGTGTTGACTGTGAGATGGTATTAAATCAAGAAGGTCAACGAGATGACGGAGACATTGTTAGCTTTTCGGATTTTTTTATTAGGGACCGTATTAAATATGTTGTATTAGTAGATGACAGGGACATGGGGTGAAGGGGAAAAAGGGGGATAATAAAAAGTCTATCCAAATGACACAAAAAAGGGTGACATATTTCAACCAGAAAAAAAATGTTGTTCAAAAGTTTTTACCTCCATTTTAAATAAATATGTATAAGATAATAACCCAATAGGTTGTTAACAGAGCAACTAATGCCTTTTGAATTACAGAGGAAACACATGACTCACCAGCTCCACGCGACCAAATCCTCCAACTCCAAGCGTGACGGGATCTCCTTGAAAGCGTCCCTCCTGATATAACACAGGAACCAGATCCTTAAACCTCAGCGTGGAGATGGGACTGAGGAAGACAGAGGACTCGTTACTCATAACCACGTCGTTTTGAGGAGCTAATTCATGTGATTGGTTCGTCTCCTTTCTGTCAAACAGCTCCTTCTTGGTAATGTCTGGAGATACCTCCTCCTACTGTGCTCTTCTGCTCTGTGGAGTCCCACAGGGTTCTATTCTGGGTCCCCTCCTGTTTGCCCTATTCATGCTTCCCCTGGGGCATATCATGCTATATGTAGACGTGGCATATGTGGCAGCCAGTTGTATGTCTGTTATACTATGTCATCAGTTGCTGAACTTAAAAATTGGATGTCTAAGAACTACATGCAGGTGAAAATCTGAAGTGATCAAAATCATCTCTAGCAGCTTTAACAGTCTCTCTGCTAGTCGGTGTACCTTATTCAGTAATGTCTGTTTTTCACTCTGAGTTGTCTTTTGGTGCTCAGGTGACCAAATCGGTGCAATCTTGGTCATCCATGTTTTTATCTCCTCCAAACTTGACTACTGCAGTGCACTTTATTCTGCAACCAACGAGCAAGACATCTGAAAACTGCAGTTAATTCAAAATGCTGCCATCAGGCTTTAAAATGCACCAAGAGGCCACTATATCACCCCAATCCTAGCTGTTATCCTAGATATTACTGCTTCGTTTTAAAGCCTTGAATGTTCAGGCTCCTGCCCATATCTGTGACCTGCTGCCTCCTTAATATCACTGTCTGAGATCCTCCAGCAGGGCCCCAATAACAGGTCAAAGGTCTCAACTTGTCACTAAAGGTGACCAGATCTCAGCTGTGGAACTTCCCTGTTTGGAGATCTCAAGCAGTAAATCTCCCCTTCAAATCTCTTCACCTCTATCGTGTGGCTTCTTCTTAACATTCATCATCTTCAGCAGCCTCTTACCTTGACTTTTCTGGAGCTTGTGCCTCCTGCATCACTTTAGAGCTGAAAATGAAAAAAAGCAGGAAACATCACACTCTGATTAAGATAAAGGAAAGGATTCCTGGTTGTGAATTTGGAAAATGTTTTGCATTACGCACTCATCAAAGAGCTCCAGGTGCTCCACGGGAATCGTCTCTTCAAACACCCTAAACAAAAAGGCATCGTTTGTCAAACTGTGCAAAAGTCAGCAAGTGGCAATACACAGGAGACAGGAAACACGATGCAAAGGCAGCAGTGACAGACAGCGAATCCACCGGAGGAATGCTCTCTCCGGGAGGCAGCAGCTGTCAGCGCAGAGCTCCACTGAACAGAACATCGCCTTCATTTACAGTCACACTCACTCCTTGTCGATGGAGAAGCAGGTGACGGGGCCGTCAGCTGAGCAGGTGGCAGTTCTCAAGACCTCCCTGCAAGAGGATAAACAGAGCAGAGGTGACGCCTTTAAACCCAGTCGCTGCTGCATATATGAATCTGAGAGGAAAGAGGGGACGTGAAATCGATGCATATTCTGCACCATGTTTAGTTGCACTGCAGCAGGAATACAGGATGTGAGAGGATACATGCGTGTTTTTACAATGTTGTTGCAAAGGGGCCAAAAACACACTGAAGAAAACTCTGTGACGTTCAAAAACTGTTCGTTACAGATTGTTGATGTGGTCATTATGAGCAGTTTAAGGTTTTCTGTTGTTGTTTTTACAGTCAACATGTAAATGAATATTTGTTTTCTGTGATTTTATGAGATAT